TCTCTGTTTTAGGCACATCTGGTTCTTTGCTCCCGCATCTGAAGCAGGAATTTGGAGATTTGGAAGCCCGTCGAGGTGACCAATGTTTCTAAAAGACTTGCCTGCAGCTTCCCGTTCACATTCCCAGATGAATTTGGCTATCTCCCAAAATCCTTCTGCCACGATCTTCCAGTAAGGGAACAAAGCCATGTCACAGCTCCTCAGGTATGAATTTCTGATATCTTCTTCTGCATAAATAATGAGTGAAGTGAAATTAGATGTGAAATAAGTCATAGAAGGCTCATTGGATCTGTTTCGGGGCACAGGGATATTCAAAGGGGGCTAAGGCAGGTATGGCAGCCGGTTTTAGGGTTATAATTTCCTCGGGTCCTTTTGAAAACCTAAGCGTGTGTGTACTGGAACAGCCATAGGAATTTGTGGAAATACTGGCAAACACACAGATATTGTCAGCATGCAGCAATTCATTCATTCATTCATTCATTCAGCAATTCAGCAATTCAGCAATTCATGACATCGGACATCACCTACGCCACCACAGGCAGTAGGCTTTGAAAATCCTGGTTTACCTGATTAGACAAAGGAACAGGCAGTAAATCTAGTCCCAGCGATCCACTTGCCTCTCTGGATTTCCATTAGCTTCCTGAAGACGGCCTCACATTCTTTCCCGGCTGAGCCTTGCATGTGAAGCTCCAGGAAGAGGATGATACCCAAGCAGTGGCCACAACAGCAGTGAATAGCTGGAAGGAAAGAGGACATGATGTGGCCAGAAGGCTGCTGTTGATCCTGGTAGCCCCATGGGCACAGAGGGGAAAGTCTGATGTCCCCAGACCCCAAAGTCCCTTGGGTACCGGGATGCAAAAGCCTGTGTAGAGTCAGAGCCCTGGTTGCTGAATGTGTCTTTACGTGGTGTCCTGGAGCATCAGGCACACCAGTGGAAGGAGGAGTGTAATGGTTAGAGCTCACCTCCCCTGACACCTGGCTTACGGCACCAGCCGCCTGAGGCAGACTAGGGCAGTAGGTCAGAACAGCAATGTAGTAAGTTCAGGATAACCCTGCTCCGTCAGGGATGATAAACATTTGGCTGCGTGCATTTTCGTAGGCTCCCTCGGTATCTCATGCCCGCTCTGCGTAGGGAGCTAGCGCAATGGACATCACCAGATCCCTCAAAGGCCACAGACTCCAATAAAATACTGAGTTCGGTTTATTGTGGAACAAAGTGCATTAATAGTTGTCGGTAGCCAGACGGCCTCCAAGTCCCGACGTGTTTGAACCCATGACCGTGGACTTCGCTCGGTCACTAGTATGGATTTCACTATCACCCCCCAGGCCGGACAAAGAGCTAAGCTGAATGTCCCCCACATGGATAGATGATTGCAAAGGTGCTCAGACTCCTTTTTCCTAACAGGACTCAAAATAAAGAAATGAAGAAGAAATGCATTTTAAAAACGTTTTCCGAGAAGATGCAAAATGATTTACTTTCCTGGCATTCCCCTTCATGCATGGGAACAATGTTGAGCATAACTTTTTGCTTTTACCTCTTTAAGTGGGGGTAGGGGAGAGAAGAAGAAAGAACAGAAACACTCAAAGGGTATGTCTAGACGACAGGGTTTTGTCGACAGAAGTTTTGTCAACAGATACTGTCGACAAAGCTTCTGTCGACAAAGAGCGTCTAGACTACAGCCAGTTCTGTCGACAAAGCAAGCCACTTTGTCGACATAATAGTGTGGACACAAAGGACAGTGTAGATGCAATAATGCCTTCTATTGACAGAACTCTGTCGATAAAAGGCGTTCTTCCTCGTAGAATGAGGTTTACATACATCGACAAAACTGCTGAGTTTTGTCGACGTTATGTCGACATAACTCAAAGGCAGTATGGACGCAGGTATAGTTTTGTTGACAAAAGTCCACTTTTGTCGACAAAGCCCTGTAGTCTAGACACACCCAAAATGATGAATTATACAGGGAAATAGTGAAATGCCCATTTTTTTTCTCCGTGGGACACATCTGGTGCTTTGGCTCCCACATCTGGAGGAATAATTTGGAAAGTCCAGACACTGTCTGTCTTTGGAACGCCCTGTCTAAGAGACAGCAGAGTCTGTAAGACTCACCTTGAAGTTCAGTTTTAAAAACCATGATGAGTTCAGCGAACGCTGCCTTTCTTTCTTCCCATGTCTTTGAACTCCAGGCCACATGCACCTCACTGCACTTCAGGAAGGAAATCTTGCTTTTCTCACCTGCTCAGCGAACAGGAAAAATTAGGTTAGATTTGAGACAAGGAATGGGAGGGTCATTCAACATGCCCTGGAGCACAGGGACGTTCAACGGGTGAAAATGCAGTTTTGGTGGCCACTAAAAAGCAATAGGATTTAGGGGTCAAATTTTCTCAGGACCTTTTGGAAACCTGAGCCCATGTGCATCAGAATGGTCATGGGAATTTGTGGAAATACTGGCAAACACAGGGATACTGTCAGTATGCAGCAATTCATTCATTCATTCATTCATTCATTCATTCATTCATTCATTCATTCATTCAGCAATTCTTTCAGACATTCATTCAGTAATTCATGCTTACTGACATTACCTAAGGCACCAAAGGAAGGAGACTTTGGACGCCGTTTGAAAATCCTATCTTACATGATTAGACACAGGGACAGAGGATAAATCTAGCCCCACTGATCCGCTTGCCTTGCAGCACTTCCTTTAGTTTCCTGAAGACTTCCTCACAGTCTTTCCCAGCTGAGCCTTGCATGTAAAGCTCCAGGAAGAGGCCAGTCCTCCGGCAATGGTCAGAAGAACAGTGAATAGCTGGAAGGAATGAGGACATGATGTGGCCACTAGGCTGCTGTTGATCCTAGTAGCCCCTCAGGTCTGATGTCCCCAGATCCCAAAGTCTCTTGGGCGCCAGGATGCAACACCCTGTGTAGGGTCACAGCCCTAGCTGCTGAGTGTGTCTGTACATGGTATATCAGGCATACCCGTGGGAGGAGGCGTGTAATGGTTAGAGCTCCCAGTTGCATTTATTTTACTAAAACTGGGAGTTTGGCCGGAGCTGGGTCGGTGCTGCTTGATGGAGGCTAAGCTTTGAAGAGGTCATGTGGGCTGCCTGCAGTAAATGCAGCCACCACAACTAGCCACACCCTCCCGCACACTCCCCATCTGGTCCTGGATCCACAGCTCTACTGGAAATGTCTCCTCCCTCAGTCCGGCAGTGGTGGGCGACACGTAACCACAGCCAAGCTGCCCGATCTGCAGCTGCTGGGTTTCCCAGAGTTTCCAGCAGTGCCAGGAAGGGAGGGATTCCCCACACAGTCTCAGCTGTGAGCCCAGTTGGGTTTGGTGGCTGAGCACATTCTAGGGAGGGAATCTGTGCACGGTGGGATAAATCCACCTACCGCCGAGAACCACAGAATCTCAGAGACCTCGCTGGCCCCCTGGAAGACGCAAACAGCCCATTCGAGCCATCTAATTGCCCCTGCCCTGAGGCTCACCCTGCCTGCCAAAATGTTCAGTCCTCCTCACCTGTCCGCCTCTTTATTCAGCACCCTGTTGGGTTTGCCCCTCAGCTCTCAGGTTTAAATTTCTCTTCCTCACCCATAACTCCACCCCCGGCAGATGCTCAGTGTCCCAGTGTCCGAAACTCCACCTGGCATCGGACGGCAACGGTGGGTAGATAACCCGCAGCTCACTCTACCCTGCCAATGCTGCAGCGGCTGGATCTCCCCAGGGAAATGTTCTTCCCCTTTTGGACACTTGGTGCGTCTCAGGAATTCTCTTCCATTCGATACAAGTTGTGTGGTGGGCAGGCGATAATAAGTGAACTTTGGGATTAGGGCTGCTCATGACTTCCCAGTAGGTCTGGCGATACTTTCCTAATAGCACTTTCTGCATTAAAAGCTGCCAGCTGGTCACCATTTCAACTTTCCACAAGAAATTGTTAATTTTGACAAGCTTTTGGAATGGATGAATTTTGGTGGAAATTTGGGACATGCTGATTTTGAGGACATTTAGCTAATCTGCCCTCAAATATCTCTTATGATGGAGACTTCACAACTCTCAAAGGCCAGCCGCTAGTAAGATTTGAACTCACAAGCCCTAGCTTGACAGGGTTATGGAGTCTACCTCAGCATAGCACCCTAGAACTGGAAAGGACCTTGAGAAGTCTTCAAGATAAAAAAAACCAGCCAGAGACACAATGACCCACCTGCTGCAAAATGTGCATATCGCCGTTCTCTTCTCAGTCTTTTGAATTTTTCCTTAATAAGATCTGAGAAAAGAAAAACAAAACACATGCGTTAGGAGTCATTTCTCATAGCTAATGTGAGTTAATGAACCGTGTAATCTAGGAAATCTCGTTCGGGATTTGAAATGTGACGCGGAGTCCTTTTGTCATTAGGAGTCAGGGTTGTGTTTGATCTAGGTGTCAAGGACCTTATTTTGCTCTGGCTTTCGCTGGTGTAACTTGGGAGGAGAGAGGGCAAGAAAGCAGAATTTCTACCTTGTGGGAAATTTTGGACATTCTGAAACTTGTTTTCATCTGAAACAGCAGTTCAACAAAAGTCAAAATTTCAAAAGATCTTGACGAACTGAAATGGAAATATTTCAGCTCCGAATGCTCAGAATCGTGCTGCTGCCAATGCAGTGACTGGTGGCAGGGGACGGTGTCACTGGGATGAATAGTAAGGAACTGGGACCGTTGCTACAGAATGGTAGGGTAGCTCTTCCATGAGGAGCCTGTTCCAACTCAACAGATGGCCCAACCCTACCTTCAATAGGCAGAAATGTTAGTACCTATTAAAAAACGTATGTTTTCCTTCATGCTGCCAGGGGCACTTCCCCAGAGACCTGAAAATAAAAAGGAAAAGACCTGATTTGCCTCGGTGGAGTTACGATAGCACCAACGCCGTCTCCAGATGGTGGACCATTGGTAGAAAAGTCCAGGGGGAACTCCAATGGGCTATGTACTTTTGCAACTTGGTTCACTCATTGGTTCATGTCTGAAATCGGTTATTTTAAGCAGAGGTGGTCAAAAGTTTTCCTGTGTAGTGACGGATGGCAGAGGAAGGAGCAATGGTCTCGAGTTGCAGTGGGGGAGGTCTAGGTTGGAGATTAGGAAAAACTATTTCCCTAGGAGGGTGGGGAAGCCCTGGGATGGGTTCCCTAGGGAAGGGGTGGAATCTCCATCCCTACAGGAGTTGAAGTCCCGGCTTGACCAAACCCTGTCTGGGATGATCGAGTTGGGGTTGGTCTTGCATTGAGCAGGGGGCTGGACTCGATGACTCCAGAGGTCTCTGCCAGCCCTGGGATTCTCCGATTCTTTGCATCAGCAAATACTAATTTTTTCTCAGAATTGATTCTATGAAAAGGACCATTGGAAACAGAGGAGACAACAGTGCGATGGGGTGAACATGGCTTGGCGTTTTCCTCCTGACCCTTCTCAAGGGGAGGGGAACTCGTGCGGATGTGCCTCTGAACTCTGGGTCTCCGCTGGCTATGGGCAGGAGCAGTGAGCGGGGTGCGGAGGAAGAGGAGGGAAGGGTGAGTTAGAGGGATGTCAGTCTGTGGGACAGGGTGGGGAATGGTGGTCAAGGACACTCCATGGTCTTTGGAGGGAGAGTTTCGCTTGTGCTCAGATGTGCTCGAATCTCGACAGTGGGGCTCTCTCTACTCTACACCAGCTGGGTGCATGGGAGAGGGGACATTTTGCCTTTGAGCTGCACCCAGGGGTGCTGTGTAATGTTCAGGGTAAAGACTCAAACCTGTTCTCTGTCATGCTGTGAAACAGGATCCCCAGGTATTATACCAAGCCCTTCTACTGCCAACCCCACCTGGAAGGACGGTTACATCTCGCTCAGCTGGGAATCAAGGGACTTTGCGGCTCACCTTGCAAGTAGCCAATGTGTCTCTCTTCCCTCTGTTCTGTCGAAGTCCCACCCTGGAATTTGCTTCCCAAGGCTTTAGTGCTCACGAATGCCCCAAGGCCAGGGAAACCAGACTCATGGGGGGTGAATTCAAACCAGGTCCCTAGGAAATATAGACAGGGCAAGAACATGAGAAAGTAAGAACGGCCAGACGGGGTCAGACCAAAGGTCCATCCAGCCCAATGTCCTGTCTGCCAACAGTGGCCATACCAGGTGCCCCAGAGGGAGGGAAGAGAACAAGGAATCATCATGTGACCCCTCCCCATCACCCATTCCCAGCTTCTGACAAACAAAAGCCAGGGACACCAGCCCTACCCATCCTGGCTAATAGCCATTGATGGATCCAACCTCCATGAATCTATCTAGCTCTTTATTTGAACCCTGGTCTTCACAATCTCCTCTGGCAAGGAGTTCCACAGATTGGCTATGTGCTGCATGAAGAAAAACTGCCTTTGGGTTGTTTTAAACCTGCTATTAATTTCATTTGGTGACCCCTACTTCTTGCGTTACGGGAACAAGTAAATAATTATTCACTTTTCCCCACACCAGTCATGATTTTATAGACCTGTATCCTATCTTTTTAATTTCTCTTCATATGGCTCCCGTTCCAAATTCCTAACCATTTTGATTGCCCTTTTTTGTAACTTCTCCAAAGTGGCATGTAAAATGGTCCCTTTGAAATGCCAATTTTTTGTTCCCTTTTTGTCTGAGGGCAATAAGTTCTCAGTTACCCCTCCCCTCCAATCTATTTGCTCCACTCGATGTTTCAGTCTCTTCTTCCCTCCAGGGTCATTTTCTCCTGTGACCTCTTCCTCCTAGTGTTTCTCTCCTAAGCCATCATGTCCTGTCCTTGCACATCCCAGAATCCTTCTTGCCATGGCGCCCCTTCACATCCCATCCCTCACTCCAAAGAAAGGTGGAAAGGGAAAATGCATCATAACGAGTCAAATCTAAAAATGATACATTTAACGGTAGAGCCGATCGAAAAGGGGAAAACAATGTCATATTTTCGGAAGTTTCCCAGCTTCTTTTCCTTTTCAGAAAGGATTCTTTTCTTAAATACATCGGGTCATTTATCAAAAATGTATGTAATAGACATTTGCTTTGTTTTCAAAGTCACTGTTGAAATAATCATGGGAAATTTTCATCTTGTTGACAAACCTTTTTTTTTTTTGGACAATGAAGAACATCAATAACCATTTTGGTAACAAGGGTCATAAAAATGTGATTGAAATGTAGGGAGAGAGATTGGAGAGGTGTATGAAAAAAAAAACATATTTCTTTACCTGGATTTGTTTTACCTTCTTTACTCAATTTGCTATATTCTATTGCTGCATAGATGGGGTACGGATTAGTCCCTTTTTTGGAGGCATCCGTTTGTTCAGATAACTTGGTCCAATCATGCTGGAAAGGTGAGAACTGATTAGTGCCGAAAGAGAAACGTTTTGGTGCTGTTCCCAGAAATTCTGTCCCTTGTTATAGGTTGAACCTCTCTAGTCCGGCACACTTGGTTCTGAACCAGAGAATTTTCCAGACCAGGGAGGTCAATATTTTCTAGAAGCATGACCAGCACTTCCTCTGCTTGCTGGGGTGTTAGAAGACATTTTGGGGTAAATTAGAGCTAAATAACAGCACAGAACACTGAGCCAGGCCTGGTGGCTGTAAACAAAGTTGATAAGACCGTTGGAAACTTAGCCCCACCCATGGTAAGTGGACATCCAGCTAGGGGTTCTGGATTAGAGAGGTTCAACCTGTAATTAGTTCAGGCTACCAATTAAACCCTTTTCACCAAGACGACTCTTGTCTTCATCATTTTTTCCTCCTTCTAGCATGCACTGTGCAGACAAACAAGCAAGTCTGTATGGGACATGCTGGAGATTTTCAAGTGGGCCTAAAGGAATTGGACCCAGAGTTTCAAAAATATTTGGCACCTAACAAGGCAAAGCAGCATCTAAAGGGCTTTTCAAAAGTCGCTAAGCAAGGTCAGTGCCTTAGGAAAGTGTTTCTCAACTTTTTTTTATAAAGTACCCTTTTTCAAAAAAAAAAAGAGAAAAGAAGTACCCCCTACAGTTTTCAGACACACACACACACATTTCTACCATTACAACACATTTGTTTAAACAACTTAATCATAGCCAGGAAGGTAATGAAATCTTTGGGTGTAAAAAGTACAAAAATAATAAAGCGCTGTAAAACTGAAAACAAAAATTCAGTTTTCTCCAAATTTCAGTTGTGTTTATATACCCCTCCCCAGACTTCTCTCAAGTACCCATAGAGGTACTCATATCACTGGTTGAGATACACTGCCTTAGGACATGTCTATGCTGGAGAAAAATGGTTTGCTTATGGGTTTGAGAGAAATACCATGTGTTAAGATGATAAGAATATCGGTGTAGCTGGAGTGGCAGAGGGGAGGGACTCAAACCTCACATAGGTGAGTCTCCTTCATGTAAGAACTACACTTCCAGCTCAGTTACTTCAGTTCCATTCAAATTAATAGGAATTAGGGAGTGGTAAATCCCGGCAAAACATTTTTTGTGAGTAGTAAATTCAACTAAAACCAAATATTTTTGGAGTTCTGAAATTACTTGTGAATTCAGGTCGAATGTGATGAGAAAAAAATGCAAATAAAAAGTCGAAATGCTTTGTTTGGGCCTGTTTGAAATGAAACATTTCAACTTGTTGTCTTGAAATGGAATTTTGTTGGAAAGTTTAGCTAATGGGGAAAAAAATCCCATTTCCAAAAAGTGACCTGAAATCTATCAAAATAGTTTTAGGTTAAATAATCTTTCAGAAAAAATTCAATAATGATTTTAAAATGGTCAGTGCTGAAGAATCCACTATACAACTTGATAAATTGTTCTAATGGTCAATTACTCTCACTATCAAAAATAAACCTTTTAGAGTCTGAATTTCTCTAACTTCAATTCCCAGTCTCTGGACCATGTTAAGCCTTTTTTTTCCTGTGAGACTGAAGAGCCCATTGTTAAAAATTCAAGACTATGACTGAGAATTTCATTCCTTCTAGCTCTTTTTTACATCAATTTATATTCCAGAAAGCCAAGAATTTTGGGATAAGATGCTAGGGTGAGATTCTTACAAACAACCAAAGAGCCAAATTCCCAATAGTTTTAATGGGAAATAGGTCTGCACTTTAGAAATGTTCAAATACCTCAGTGATCTTTGGGAGTTCCAGGGAAAAGACTGAGACCTACAAAGTTACCTTGAGGGGTCAGAAAGCATTAAAATGTGAGCAGGAGTTATTCATCCTTCCACTCTTTTATTCCTGAATCTCAAGTACTGCCGAGAGAGAGAGAGAGAGAGAGAGAGAGAGAGACTCTGGATTTACATGCAAACCCACCAGTTTCAATACACTATAGACAAAGAAAGCATCCCAGACATCGGTCAGAGAAAAGAGTTCATCTTCAGCTGCCTGTATCACCAAATTAAACTCTTCTATAATATCACAGGAAGTCTCAGAAAGTTGGTCACGCAGGCGTCTTTCCAAGTCCTCTATTTTCTCTGCCCAATCCTTCTCGTGGTAGAGGGTGGACATGCACCTTGGAATGAACCAGAGAGAGCTGCAGCTGAGACTATGGACGTAGAATAGGGCATCTCCCTCCCCGTTTTAATTTTCAACCTTCTCTTTCCCATGCAGAACGATCGTCCTGACAAGTTCTAACACCGCTGTGAATTCACAAGAAATTCATCCGTGATTGCCCGTCACCAT